TCATCACCCCAGGTGGCATCAAAACCCCTGAGGAGTTATAGGAATGGATTATGGGTGGCTATTGGAAGCCATGATTCGAGAAACGCAATTAGTTTGTCCAATCATCGCGTCATGAACATTTCAAGTTTTATATAATCTTAAGTCACCAAGTAAAAATAAATTATAGTGGGGTAGCGAAAGCGTGATGGCCCATAACCCATAAGTCCCAGGATCTGAACTTGAATCTGATACAAGTTGGGGTGTGCATAATATCGCCGAAACCGTCGAAACCGCCAAAATCGCACCGAACCGCACCGCCAAGGCAAATTCGTTATTATTTGTCAATCGAACCGCTGGTTTTTGGTAAGAAAAATGGCAAATTCTAGTGACACTTTTATCAATCCGCCTCCATACATTTGTCTGGTTCTGTACCGTGGTTATGACTTCTGGTGTGGAGCAAAGTGCTATACGGAACTAAGTGCTACACTATGGTGGGAGCCACCTCTAAAGTTCGTACGAGCCACCTCTTGAGTCCATACATTTGTCTGGTTCTGTACCGTGGTTATGACTTCTGGTGTGGAGCAAAGTGCTATACGGAACTAAGTGCTACACTATGGTGGGAGCCACCTCTAAAGTTCGTACGAGCCACCTCTTGAGTCCATACATTTGTCTGGTTCTGTACCGTGGTTATGACTTCTGGTGTGGAGCAAAGTGCTATACGGAACTAAGTGCTACACTATGGTGGGAGCCACCTCTAAAGTTCGTACGAGCCACCTCTTGAGTCCATACATTTGTCTGGTTCTGTACCGTGGTTATGACTTCTGGTGTGGAGCAAAGTGCTATACGGAACTAAGTGCTACACTATGGTGGGAGCCATCTCTAAAATTCGTACGAGCCACCTCTTGAGTCCATATATCTGTTCTGTTCCATTCTGTACCGTGGTTATGATTATGTATATGATTTTCGTATTTGATCTCTGTATTATATATTTTTTATTTTAATATCAAGCTCTGTTTAGCCAATAATTATCCATGGTGAATTTTATGCCCTTATACTCTTAGTATAATATGTCTCACTCTGCCATGTGCTTATAGTTGTTTACTACTTTCAGGTGATATGTCAGGGCCAGCGCGTGGGGTAGGCACGAAGCACTTTGTAGAGATAGTCCAGTTCTGATAATTTAATTAAATAGAAGCTCCGATGATTATTTTGGTACCCCATTTAAATATTACTTCGCTCGCGTTTATTTATTTGTTTAAGAATTGACTGGAGGTAACCTCAGTTACTGGCCATCACGATGCTTAACCATTGGGTATGGGGAACGGGTCATGACAAGTGAATCCTCTCTTTTATAGAGGGATTGTCGTGGCCACCAAGCCAAGTTGCCACGTGTCGCCTTCTTATTAATCTCCATTAATTTAAGCTTATCCAAACTTAACTTAATTATAAATATTATATTTTGATCCTTTTTTATCTCTAAATTCTTAATCATGATATCATTTTATAAAATTACCCATAATAATACAAAATAAATTATATATTTTCTTAACTGTGATTAAATAATATTAGTATAAATTGTACAGAATAATTAAAAATATGGGTTGTTACAATCTTCCCTCCTTTTAAAATTCCGTCCTTGAAAATTGTTATATGTGTAAACTAACCGCTGCGTACTCTGATAAATATATATTAGATGATTAATTTGAAAAAAGTATTACCTCAAAAAAAACTTTACCAAAAACAGCTCACTATTTAGTTGTGAAAAATTATTTTGGGCCAAAATGAGAAACAATCGGTGATTTTAAAAACTTTTCATTAGTTTTATGATAAAATAAAATAAAATAAGATCATAATTAAACAAGTGACTGAAAATGAAATGACAGAATCATATGCAAGATTTGAAAGAATTTGAGATGAACTTCCATTCTTTTTTTCCATGAATCTTCCATTGATAGGAAATTGTTTCAAAATTAGTATCTTTAAAATTTGAACCTACTTGTAAAATGTCGAAACAAAATTTTTTTTTTTTTTTTGAATACTGAACGGAAAATTATATGTATTTAATTATATTATAATTTTGGTAGGTGCTTGAGGCCGACACCCTCTATATATTTTCTTTCTTTTGCCATAACAAATAAAAATGATATCTAATATCCTTTACAAATTATGCACACACAAAAAAAAAAAAAAATATATCACTACTAGAAAATTGATTTTTTGCGTCTATTTTTTTGTGACTGTCTGATTAGTCGTGGCAAAAAAAAAAAAAAAAACGTGACGGTATAATGAAACGCAAGTAGTAGTAAAAGGTTCCTATTTTCTTTCATTTATTTGCGCACTTTTCTTAGTTTTGCCCTAGCAGACTCACTCAACTCTCTCTCTCGTTCTTGCTTTCTGTCTCGCTCTCCCATCGTTGTCTGAAGAACTCCACCAGTATGAATCTCTCCCTCGATCTCTCAATCTCTCTGTTTCTGTCTTAATCTCTCTTCCTCTCTTGATCTCTCAATCTATCTTGCGCACAATCTTGCTCTTTCTCTCTATATCTGTGTACACCTCTCACCGCAATTTGCTCGATTCATCACAGAGAAACCCTAACTTTGCTAGTAGACCGCATTGAAAAGGTCTTTTGGAGTTCTCAAATACAGCAGAGTAAGCTCACCTATCATGCATTTCATCTATCTCAAAATTCACCTACATTACACACATACACTTAGACTATCTTTGAGCTTCATTATGTACAAATCAGGTACCTACTCTCTTCAAATTTCCTCTATTTTTTCTATTTAGTTTGTTTCGATTCGTTTCATATCTATACTTGATCTGGTTTTGTATCTGAGAATTCCTGTGTTTTTATTTTTTGCACTGTAATAATACATTTTTTTATTGATTTGTTTGTTCTCATTTGAGTTTGAAACTGCGTTTGATTTGGTTTTGTGGATCAGAGTTCTTTGGTTTATTGTGATTAATTTAGTTATCTTTAGATTTAGTATTTGCTCGTCAAATTGATATGGATCACAATCTTATGATTGCAGTTCTTTGTAATTTTATCTAGCGTTAGTCAAATGAAGTTTGAATGATAGGTACTCTTTGAACTACTTGGATTGATCAAATTACTCCACCTTAGATTCAACAGAGTAAGATTTAACTTCTTTTTTGTAAGTACTCCACCTTTTCATATTTCTTTCATTTTGGTGATAGTTGTTGCTAATAATAATAAATTACTTCAAACTTTGAGCAACTACTTCTGCATCTTTGAGAATCTGATAGTGCTCTAGGACTTTTCTCAAACTGTATGATATGAGAGATCATGTAAATAAATCTGAGGTTATTGATTCTTTTTTTTTTTTGAACAATGAGCTTATTGATTCTGTTATTGATGTCATGAGGAAAGAGGCTGAGAATTATGTCATTTTTTGCCTTTGGTTGAATGTTATTCATCAAGTTTTAAGTAAAGAAGGACCAATTTTTTTGAAACTTCATGACTATCATGCTATTTGGTGCTATTGGTACTCTGATATCCTTTGTCATCATCTCCTTTGGTATGTTCTTGTATCTATAGTCATTTCTTCTTACTTGTTTTTTTGTCTTTGTTGGAAAGAAAAAAAAAAAAAAAAAAGAGCTTAAAAGTGCATAATTATTTGATGAAATATCCATTGGGTGAGAAAACAGAATGCATGTGCACTACTAGATCACTTGCTTTTTCCTTGTCAGGATGACATGGATTAGTGGATGTTACTTCCTCATTAAATCTGTTTGCACACATAAATGAAACTATGAGACATCTTGCATTGGTACTATATTCAACTTGTTCTGTCATTATCATAACATAGAAGGAAATCGGGAAATAATATTCCTTATGGATTAGTTATAGAAGGAATTATAACTAACTTGTTGACAGGGCTTTGCTAGACTTTGTGTGTGTGTATGTGTGTGTGTGTGTGTGGTTTTTTTTTTTTTTTTTTTCCTGATTGAGATGAATCTCTAAATATGCCTTTTGGATTCTATAGGAGGCAGCAAATGAAAAGAACAAAATTTACTATTCCTGGAATAGATAGATGTTATTTTTCTCTAACAGGAAATTTGCTGCTGGAGCACTGGAAATCAACTGGACTGTCCCTAGAGGGTAGATTTCCTAATTTTTTAATATGGTCCTTCATATGTGATGATTATTGTTTTTAGTTTTAGTTTGGAGTCATTTGGCCAAATGCATGAATTTTTTCTACTCTATAGTACCAAAATTTGAGTCAAAATATAAAACTCATGTTGTTTGCTATGAAACAAGCTGGTTTTACTCATTTGAGTCTTGGATCAACTAAGTACTTTTCTTGCACCATGACTTACTTCATAAATGGTATTCATGTTTGACTTACGCGCCACTCTAACATATTGATTATTTTGAGCATTTTGTTTAATTTTGGAATAAGTTCAGGAGCACAAAAATCAATCAGGAATGTATCATTGATATGTTAGGAAGCTGGCAATAACAGCAAATCTCAGTAAAAATTGGGGAGAATTGCAAAAAAGTGGCATCGACACAAAAAAGTGGGGAGAATTTCAATTGTGACTCCATAGTCCAAGCCTCATTTGTTTCAAGGCATGATTATGTTCAGTTGCAAAATTGATTTTTCATATTTCATAAATTTCATGTGGGTGTGACCAAAGCATGGTAGTCATCTTTTTTTTTTTTTTTTCTCATGTGCTGGGATGCACAGGCTCTTTAATACTCTCAGCTTAGTATTGTTCTTAATTTACCTTTATTAAACTGAACATGGTTAATTCTCTTATGATATATTTAAATCTGGTTGTGTCCTTGATAACATTAATCTTTCTAGACCTTACCCCCTCTTTTATCCACCATGCTGAACTTGTAAAAATTCAGTGGTCAATTTTTATAATACTGCTTCATAGTCAATTCTGACATGTTTGTTTTCTACTTGTCTGAGACTGGTACATGCCTTGGACGTATAACTTGTGAGGAGAATCCTTATTAAGCCTCTTCTCTTAGTGGGTAGTGTGAGATTAACACATTCTAATTGTTGTTGGGATTTACACCTTCAGTTAGTCTGTTGTTGGGAAATCATTTTTTCATTATTATTGGGTGAACCTCTTGAGTAGTTAATGATTGAAGGTTCAATAAATGATTGGACATTATAATTAATTTAAGTATGTTAGTTTGTGTTTTAAAATTGTAATAGCTTCAAGATTGGTGTTTTAGGCTCAGCTTATGTTAGAGAAAGACATTTCCAGAAACCATAAATGCTGTATGAAAGAATAACCACATGGTTTATGTATTTGTTGTGTCTATTGCAATGGCTTTTACAGAGGAACAATGTTGTTTATTAAGTGATGTGAATTATATAATTATTCTCTCTGTCAGCTATGTAATTATGCTCACCATGCACATGTTTTAGCTAATGATTCTTTGTTTCTTGTCAAGTTTCTAACTGGTTTTTTCTTGAATTATTGTTTAATACTATATGAACTTTATCATATTCAATAATAATTTCCCAAAGACTTGGCTATTCCGAAATGAAATACAGTGTTGAGTGTGTGTGTGTGTCACAGGTAAAGAGTAACATGCTTGGTTTTCAAAGCTGAATACTACTAGAAAAGTGACCTCTTGCTACTATCTAATTGCGACCATTTGATTACCCGTCGCAAATAACCAATTGATTTCTTTATTTTTATTTTTTTTTAATTTTGCCCTTTTACCCGTTTTCCTTATATTTGCCCTAGTTCTAGAAAAATTCAAACACTGATCGTTCTCTCTCTTTCTCTCACACGCATCACATACCTATATAGCTCTGCTCTCTCGCTCGCTCTTTCACTCGCCATTGTCGTCTGAGATATCCGGCAGTTTGAATCTTTCTCTATCTTCCACTCTCCCAATTTCTATCTCTCTCAATCTCTCTCTCTGCGCCTATACATATACATTTACATGCATCTATGAAGTATGACTCAGATTGTGTAGTGTGAAGTTAAAATGTTAGTCGGCAAAGATTGGGTTGATGTTGATATTGATATAAATGTGTTTCAGTGAATTTGATTGAGGTTTTTGTGAGTTGGATTTTGAAAATTGAATCTAATTGCTCAAGGCTGTGGAATTGTTTTAGATGGATTTGAGTTTGTCAATTTCTAAATTTTCTTTTCTTTTCTTTTCTTTTTTAATGTGAAATTAGTACTATTCAATTGTTTTTTTTGTGTTAATCAAATTGTGCTATTCTAAGATCCATGTTCATGTAGAATCTAAAATTTGAGTTTTATATGTATATACCTATGAAATATTCAGAAGATTCGAGTTATATTTGATTGATGGAGATGTTGATTTTATGACTCCTCTGTTTTGCTTTAGTGTTCTCTATAGAGGATTGATTTTGGTCCTATGTGGCAGACTCTTTTAAAATTCACATATGAATATTTTTTCTCTGATATGTTTTATCACAAATATTTCTGTTTCAGCTCCATATTTATTATTATTATTTTTTTTTTTATCACAATGCATTAATCTGATAATGCATTCTTCCATATTAACTAAGAAGGCTAGTGGAAATGTTAAAAATGTTTGTTAAAGTGTATTATATGACAAAAAGTGGAGTCCAATTTTGTATGTTAAAACTCTTGCTTCAAGTTTTAAACCCTTCACTAAATATTTGATTCATATTTCTAGAACTCTACATAATTATGTATATTATATGATCAAAGATTTTGAAATTACGTTTGTATTTTTTTCTCCCACAGATTAAACTATTGGACTGATTCATCTCACTTGGACTAAGATTCTAAAGCTAAAAGTTGCAATCATTCACCATGAAATGCGTATGGATTAGCTATCTCCTATAATAGAGACTAGAGCAAAATGTGATTAGTTTTGAAATGTTCCATATGATACATGATTAGGAGTTCAACTTTCGTTGTCATTTCTTGCTATTGGTGGAACAATCCATGTTAGCTGAACTTCTTTTAGCTGTCATTGTTGCTGATTATTTGTTTTCATTCTAGTACTTCAAAGATCTGCTGTCAAATTAAAGAAAGGCTTGTACTAAATAAATTGTCAAATTTGAAATGCATCAAAGCAGAAAGTGACCACTGCCCATTGGCATTTGGCACTGTGTAATAATTAACATTATTGAAGTAACAGAAAGTTGAAATGATCAACTAAATTATACTTCTAACATGGATTATCAAATTATATGGTAACAGAAAGTTGAAGTAATAGAACAATACATGATTATTTGATTCATTTCGCTGTCATTTCGCATCATTCTAAATTAGTAGTAGACTCGGGAGGTACGTTCATTGCAGTGCATTGCTTTCTTTTTATTAATGTTTTAGTAATAACTCATAATGATGTGTGCTTCCCTGTGAATGATGGCAGAGAGTGCTCTGGATGAGAGAACTCATCGGAGGGCAGCACTTGAAGCATCTCTTCGTGAGGTTTTATTTCAGATAATAAAATTTGTGAATGAGAAAAAAGATCACGTTCCACCCATACCGAATCTTGAAAGTGTCTCCTTTCCCTATGAAATTACTCTCTCAAGGTGAACTGTTTTATCCATGACATTGTTCTGGTGATTATTTTTCAATACAATTGTAGTTGTTTCAATATTTAGCACCTTTCTTAAAGGGTAGCTATCATATTTCATTTTCTTTGTTGAATTTTACAGGCTTCTACCTTCCTTGCTTCCTTGCTTCCTTTTCTTTTTTTATTGTTATTTAATCTGTTTTCATGTATTGATGTGGTTTTATTTTTAATTTTGTTTTTTCAATGCATTTGATATGTTTATGAAAAAAGAAACATTATGCTTTTGGAGTTGTTCTTTGTGGGCATGGATTTTGCATTTGTACCAACTCAAAGAAAAAATGGAAATATCTTGTATTTCAGAGTACATGCAACCTGAACTTTGTAAGGAAAGCTACACGTGATTCCCATTTGCATGAGCTCTTTTTTCACAAAGTCCATGCTTTGCACTAGAGTAATTGTGCCATGAGTGTCATTAATCGAGAATGTGAGATTATAAGGGTCAAGTTGATTGTAGTTGATGCATTAATTCTAGATTTTTGGCAGCTCTTTTGTTCAAAGGCAACACTTCTTGCTGGAATGGTTATGCTTATGAGTTCTCATGATGTGAAATCGTGAGATTTTATAGTTGTGTTTGTGGGGATGGGTTTTGGACCCTAATTTTTCATGCAAGGTGTCTTCCTTAATTATACACTTTGCAAGATGCAAATTAATTTTTTGAGTTGTTGCACTGTGTTTAGTTGATTAATGCATCCAAATTTTTAGTTCTCGTTATTGTAAAAAGATCACAAGGTTAACAACCTTGGAATGATGGATGATAATAGTTACAGATGTGCTGCTTACTCTACAGCAGTGGCATTGCCTCATCCATCACCATTTCTTGAACTCCCCATATATATGACATAGGCTTCCTTATGATATTAACAGCTCTAGGTAGTGATTAAATACAAATTTATTTAGCTTTTGTATGGTGTCTGATAGGGTTATGTGCTTGGACTGTTATTTGAATGTCAAAGTATAGATATAAATTAGTAGAAAATTGACTTGCTCTATTATTATTATTTTTTTTTGGCAGGATGAAAATCGGGCAGCTTGGATTTAGCCCACATACATAGCATTCAACTTTTCTAGGAACCTAAGAAGAAGATTCACGGTACACATTCTAGAATAGTGAACACCAACATTGAATTATTTTGCTGTTTTATTAAGTTTTCATTATTTATCTGCAATCTTTGCCTTTTCTCTGCTCTGCTTGAGGCTTTATATCTAAAGAAAGATCTAAAAATTAGATACTATGTGTTCTAACCTATTTCCCCTCATAATATGTATTGATTAGGTGCAAGCTTGGATTTGAGGAACATACATCTCCATGGTAACAAATTGGAACTAGACCGGTACCTTGTACAATGGTGAACATCAGCATTGTAGATTTTGACTTTACTAGCATTTTATTTGGATTGTATATTTTTCATAAAAGAATTTTTTTTCAAGTTTTTAGTTGTAATAACTTTCACATATGGCTCTAATTTTGAGACTCAAATGGAATGCCTAATTAAAGTACAATGTTATATTGTCTAAATTCTTGTCATTGCTATTCCTAGAGTGCTTAATGTTACACTTTTATTTTTTATTTTATTTTTTTTTTTTTGCAACGGTAACAAGATAGTCGCCAAAAATATGTTAGTGTTGTTTTTTTGTTTTTTGCGACGGTAAAATAGCGGTCACCATAAGTAATTTATACGGTCGCAAATAATTTGCAACCGTTGCTTTGCCGTCGCAAAAAGTATTTGTCACCCCCCCACATTCGCGACCCCCATTCGACGTCGTATGGGCCGTCACAAAAAGTCTTTTGCGACGGTTTATAGCGGTCGCAAAAAGTGTTTTTTTTAGTAGTGTGTTGTGCCATTGCACAAAAGTTATTGTGTGAGTATAATAAATTCATTTTCAGTTTTATTTTTGTAATTTAAATTGTTTATTTTTTAAAATATATCGAATAAAATATTCTTATAAAAAATTACGTTAATTGAATATTAATAGACTTATAATCGAGTCAAATTTATATCTATAAAAATAAATATTCAATATAATTTTAATTATAAAACTAAATATAAATTTAATGTGATTATAAGACTAACAATATTTGATTACAATGATTTTTTATAAAAAAATATTCTAGTTGATGTGTTCTAAAATATAAATAATTTAAATCACACTCTCATTCTCCTATCTTCTCACGAATGCCTTTAATATATCTTTGCTTCCAATTTTTTATTTTAAATTTTTTTAGTCTTTGTTTAGCAATAGGTAAGAAAGTCACATTCCTTTTTAGAACCGATGCTATTTTAAATTGTAACCAAATAATATTTTGAGTCATAATTAAAGTTAACCCTACCTTTGATTTAGTCCTAGATCAACACCACCAATCATTTCAAAACAAAACTGGCAGACAGAACATTTCACTGAAAAAGGCAGGCATTTGTGAAGTTTAGTATTGATATTTGGACGCGCTCTCAAATGGATAAGGTAGCTGTCGCGCCTTTGTACAAAAATAATTGCGGGAGTAGATGATGATGATGATGATGATGATGATGATGATGATGATGATGATGATGATGATGATGATGATGATGATGATGATGATGATGATGATGATGATGATGATGATGATGATGATGATGATGATGATGATGATGATGATGATGATGATGATGATGATGATGATGATGATGATGATGATGATGATGATGATGATGATGATGATGATGATGATGATGATGATGATGATGATGATGATGATGATGATGATGATGATGATGATGATGATGATGATGATGATGATGATGATGATGATGATGATGATGATGATGATGATGATGATGATGATGATGATGATGATGATGATGATGATGATGATGATGATGATGATGATGATGATGATGATGATGATGATGATGATGATGATGATGATGATGATGATGATGATGATGATGATGATGATGATGATGATGATGATGATGATGATGATGATGATGATGATGATGATGATGATGATGATGATGATGATGATGATGATGATGATGATGATGATGATGATGATGATGATGATGATGATGATGATGATGATGATGATGATGATGATGATGATGATGATGATGATGATGATGATGATGATGATGATGATGATGATGATGATGATGATGATGATGATGATGATGATGATGATGATGATGATGATGATGATGATGATGATGATGATGATGATGATGATGATGATGATGATGATGATGATGATGATGATGATGATGATGATGATGATGATGATGATGATGATGATGATGATGATGATGATGATGATGATGATGATGATGATGATGATGATGATGATGATGATGATGATGATGATGATGATGATGATGATGATGATGATGATGATGATGATGATGATGATGATGATGATGATGATGATGATGATGATGATGATGATGATGATGATGATGATGATGATGATGATGATGATGATGATGATGATGATGATGATGATGATGATGATGATGATGATGATGATGATGATGATGATGATGATGATGATGATGATGATGATGATGATGATGATGATGATGATGATGATGATGATGATGATGATGATGATGATGATGATGATGATGATGATGATGATGATGATGATGATGATGATGATGATGATGATGATGATGATGATGATGATGATGATGATGATGATGATGATGATGATGATGATGATGATGATGATGATGATGATGATGATGATGATGATGATGATGATGATGATGATGATGATGATGATGATGATGATGATGATGATGATGATGATGATGATGATGATGATGATGATGATGATGATGATGATGATGATGATGATGATGATGATGATGATGATGATGATGATGATGATGATGATGATGATGATGATGATGATGATGATGATGATGATGATGATGATGATGATGATGATGATGATGATGATGATGATGATGATGATGATGATGATGATGATGATGATGATGATGATGATGATGATGATGATGATGATGATGATGATGATGATGATGATGATGATGATGATGATGATGATGATGATGATGATGATGATGATGATGATGATGATGATGATGATGATGATGATGATGATGATGATGATGATGATGATGATGATGATGATGATGATGATGATGATGATGATGATGATGATGATGATGATGATGATGATGATGATGATGATGATGATGATGATGATGATGATGATGATGATGATAAAGGCTATCAAAGAATTTCTCTTGAGGAAGAATTTGAATTTGAACTCAGAGAAATTGGTCTAAGGTTTGTCAAAATGATTTCATAAAATGATGTTGTGATCTAGAGAAAATTGGTTAAAATGAATCCAGAGAAATTTGAATTTTCTCTGGTTTGAACTGAAATTTCTCTGGGTTGGTCCAGAGAAATTCTCTGACTTGGATTGAAAATTTCTCTGGATTGGTCCCTGGTATTAAGATTTTTCAACATAGAGTTTGTCATTTATCTTATTTCCATCGTCAACCTCTATGTCATGTTGCATCTCCAAACCACCCTCTGATGTTGAATCACAAGCTTTGCCCTTCATGATCATTTCCTTCCCGGAATTGTCATCAATCTATTCTTAACATTTTCAACTCAGAGAATTTCTCTGGACTAATTTTCTCTGAACCAGAATTTCTCTGGACTAATTTTCTCTGGGCCAATTTTCTCTGGACTGAAATTTCTCTGGACTGAAATTTCTCTGGATCAAGGTTGAGGGACCTTAGACATTATGAAAATATTGTTGAGGGACCTTAGACATTATAAAAATATTTGATGTCCTTTATGCTATAAAATCATAATACTAGGGACCTTAAAAAAAAAACCCCATACTTTTCAAGTCTATTTAGGTCTCGTTTGGGAACAGGCTAATTTAGTAATTTTTTGGCTATTTGGCTAAAAAGGTAGGCAAAAAAACTTGTATGTTTGGGATGACTTTTTGACTAATTACGAAAAGATGTGCAAAAAATAGAGAGAAAAGAAAATCTTTGACTTTTTGGTATGAGTTGTTGGCTTTTTGACTAATTTAGTAACTTTTTGACTAATTGGCTAAAAAAAGAAGTCCCCAAACGGGGCCTTAGTTTAGAATGATTTAAAAATTAAAAGAAATTCAAAAAAAAAAAAATCACTACAAGCAAAATAAAAAAATAAGGCCAAAAAAAAAAAAATCTTTAAATAACTTTGTTGAAAAAAAAAAATAATTTAACCCAGTCTACCTTTTAGACTAAAGGATCCAGTTTAGGCTATTATGTGCCTAATTCATGTCCACTTCATTGATCCAACCCATTCAATTAGTGCCTCCTAAGGAAATTATTTATGAAAAAATATTATATTGATCAAATATCAATAATCATATATTTAAATCATTTTTTTAACAAAAATAAAAACGAAAAAAAAAAGAAGAAAAAGAAGAAGAAGAGAGTGACAGCAAGCGTAATGTAAAAAATAGACTACAATATTTATATTTTAAAGACGAATGTGATTCAAATATATTGTTACTGATATCTGATAAACCTAATACTTTACATGGATAATCTATTAGAAAGACAGAGAAAAATGAACAGTTTAGATCAATGAAGTGGACTTGAGGTGAACCCATAATAAACCCAGTTAAATGGGAGAGAGGCATCATCCTTTAGTTATGTTTTAAATTGGTATTGGTTACAACCCATTATGGTGACTTTTTTAGTCTTAATCTTCAATTATGTTCTAAAGTGATATTAATTACAATTTAATATGACCATAATCAATTATTTAAATTATTTTTTCCAAATTCAAGCATTTAAAGTGAAATATACAAAAAAAAAAAAAATAATAAAAATTCCTGATAAAATTATAAAGCAGTTATATTAAAATAAAAAGCAAACAACATACAGATCAAGAAAAATAAAAACAATACCCAAAAGGATCAAAACAAATAACCTAACAAGAATTACAAACAACAAAAAAACATAGTCGCCAAAAAGCGGCCACGATCTATGAAAAATTACCGATCTTCTTTTAGATGTGATTTGAAAAAATAAGATTTGCATCAAATCCGCCATCACCATTGTCCAACTCCACCACTACCGCTACCGTTGATGTCAAATGTTCTGTAACAATAAATGGAAATTGTTTTATGATTTCCCATGATAGAACTCCAAAAGCCAGGAATGTGGATGCTGTGTTTTAAGGCTTGGCGTAGTACCAACTACTTTATTTTGGGAAAAAGCATATTAGCATAATATCCACACACACACACAAAACAAAAAACAAAAAACAAAAAAAATGACAAATACTATACAACTTAACAAACTTTTCTTACTTATTTTTTGACGGAACTTTTGGGTAGAACTTATCTTTGAAAATCCCGCTTGCAAAGGACAATTTGGAATCATAATATTTCACAACGTTTCGTAACTAACATCTCAATGGCTACTAGCCATCCTCAGATCACCTCATCCAATTCCATACAAGCATAGGTCACACTAAATTCTATACTTGATGTGGTGAGTGAC